GTTTTGCCTTTTCATTAGGCAGAGATGTTCACAGTTATGCTTATGAAATGCACTGAAAATTAATAAAGAGATCTATGTGAAAATAATGCAGTCAACACAAATGTGTACTTTCTTCACAGTAAGAGGAAAGAGTTGATACAGACACATGACCGTGTCCATGTTACGCAAGTTACAGTAATTATTACATTTTAATACATGTTATTAAGAAACATAAATGGTTCTAATGTTGCTATGTGGTTGCTTAAGAGCTCTGGGTGGTGTCTAGGTTGTTGCTGGGGTGTTCTGATTAGTTGCTCTGATCGTTAATATGTAGGGTTAGCGTTTTGTTCAAAATCCTCAATGCTGAGAATGAGCAACATTAATATTACTGCTTGCCTTAGCAAGCACTACTAATTATAATTGGACTAACCAGATTAATAGTTTCCTCTTAGTCATAAAGATTCTTAGGTGCCAAAAGTAGAACAAAAGTGCAAGTCATCTGGCACGTCTCCTCATTCTGAACACAAGCTCAGTTATACACAAACACGCTGCTGTTTCTGCTCAGCTTTTCCTCATGTTTCACTTATTGTAATTAGGTTTGGCTCAGGATTTCACAACATATGTTTACAGCATTGCCAAACCACGAATCTCGATGAAACGTGCTATCAGGTAATTCATCCTCAGTATGACAAATTAGACTATTTTAGCAATTAGACAGACATCGTATGCTTCTATATAAAGTGGTGTATAGCGCATCCGCGAACCGCTAATTGGACACTTCATGAAGGATATCAGTTTCAGTAAACGTATAAGACACAATTAAACTGCTTTTTGAACATTAATACCTCTTTTTATTAAGACAGTACTGCTCCATTTCTGTAAAAATGTATTTTCATGGTCAAATACAAAGTGTAATCGGGAACATGTAAATAGCTTTAATTACACAGGAATACAAACTACAGAGATGAGACAAAATATCTGACATAAAACCTATGGAAACAATGAAGAATGGCTCTGGTGGTCCAGGTTGTGTAAAAATGGAAAATGCATTGTAAATGTACGCACTAAGATTCACGTCTTAGATTTATTTTCTTTAAATAAACCTATCATCTGCTTGCTGTGACCTATCTATACAAAGTAATATGAACATTTACACAGTGCACAGCATCTGAAGTACAGATAAAACATGTAGAACATGCTCCATTCTGCATAATTTTTGATAATAACAAAGTTTTTTCTTTCAGATATGGGGCGTCACTTTTTGCATTCTACCTGAGATGCAAAAAATGTATTAATGGACAGACCTGAGACAGGGCAGAATCAAACCTACACTGAAGGTATGTTTGTGTGTGCATGTTTTTTCTTCTTCAGGTTTAGGCAGTTTTAGATCACTTACCATTTCACTTGTAAATATTAAAGTAAACATTAGAAAAGAAAGGAAAAGAGTGATCTGGATGTAGGTTGGTGGATCCGCTGTGGAAACTCTAACCATGTTATGACCCTTTGTAGCCCTCACTCCTTATTTAACATGTGATAGTTGGAAATAGCTTAATGCCATTACAATTACAGTATGATAACTGAGTGAAATCATATAGTATACATTTATAAATACCATTTTTTAATTCACATGCTTGGAATGTCAATTGGGTGCACATATTGATCTTTTTTTTTAATGTACATACAGTTCAAAAGTTTGGGGTTGGTAAGATTTGAATGTTTTTGAAATAAGTCTCTTATGTTCACCAAAGCTGCATTTATTAGAATGAAATAATTAATTTATTCCTATGATGGCAAAACTGAATTGTCAGCGGTCTTCAGTGTCACGTTCCTTCAGAAATCTTTCTAATATGCTCATTTGATGTTTAAGAAACATTTCTTATTATTATCAATACTGAAAAGAGATGTGATGCTTAACATTTCTGTGGAAACCATGATAAATATTTTTCATTTTTCAATAGACTGTTGAAAAGAACAGCATTTATTTGAAATATATATATATTTTTCTAACATTATAAATGTCTTATATAAATGTCACATTTGATCACAACTGAATGCATCTTTAATGCAATTACTGTCACAATTGAATGCAGCTTTGTGTAATAATAGTACTATTAAAAAAAATAAAGGAAAAGAAAAGAAATAGCAATCTTTTTGACCCCCAACTTTTGAAAAGTAGTGTATGAACTTTGGGCGTTTTTTTTTTTTAGGGGGAATAATTTAACTTTCATTTACTACATTCTCAATCAGTTTAGTGTTGTAGGCGTTCAGAACATGATATGTTTAAATAAATCTGCTGCTGTATAAAAGCACAAAATTCTGTACAACATACAGTGACAATCAAAAGGAAAGTTTCTTTCCGTATAACCAAGTATAAAGAGTGGCATTAGCTACAAGAGCCTTGCACGAATATACCATAATTTAATAGCGTTTTCAAATCTAAATAATGCTCACCTGTCAGATAACATCAGGAATAACACTAAGAAAAACGAACAAAAAAATAACACTTGATAATACACAAATTCATGTAAACGCTATGACCAAACAAATTTTTTTTTCACAAGGATTTTACAATGTTAACCATACTCTCACCATAACGCCAAAATCCCCCCATGAAGTTAATCACAAACAATAAGCATCTGTCCAACTGTTTAGGACGAAGGCCAAAGATATGAAACAATGCCTGATATGAGTGCAATATTTCACCAACTATATACTAACTCTACAATAATGTAATAATGTCACGCTCTATACATTTATAATACATTTAAGAGAGAGGAAACATAATACCACATGTCCCTGTGAAAATTGTCCCTTGCATACATCACCTGAACATAAAGCATGTTTGATGAGACAAACAGAACATTCAGGACTCACTTTTATAAACTATTGCATTACTGTAGAGTTACTACATTCAATCTGGCATCTACACATGAGCTGGACGGGAGAAATCGAGAATAAGATCTGCTAACTGAAACATGTTGGAGGGCACAACTGTGAGTATGGCTTACAACATACAGGCTCCATCTATTTCATTTAGTACAACATTTTTTTTTATGTTACTATGAGAAGCGCACAGAAGCACTAACAATATTCTGAGAAACTCACTGACCTCGACCTCATACTGAGCCTACTGAATGAGAACAAGCTAAAAATGAAAGCTATTTTACACTCTGATAGATATGTTGTGTTTCGTAGGAGGGGACATCTTTGTGACGGCCTTCCTGTACAGCTGAGCCAAGAGCCGATCTGCTCTTCTTTGCTTTGGCATTCAATTTTAATGCTTGGGCATAATTACAATAAATTAGTCTGTGAGTGAAGCTGGTAAATGGATAATACGATACAAGCCGGAATGAATATCAACACAAGCCGATTATAATCACATACAGTATATCTAAGGAACAATTAGGGCTGTCAATCGTTTAACAGTTTTAAACAAACCAACTACAACATATGCTGATGAATTAATCAAATTAATTCAAATTAGGCATTGGAGGACACTATACTGTTTGTTAAATTTCCTTATCATTGAATATAAGGCCACATCCACACGAAGCAAGAGCTTTCCCTATCCCTATAATAAAATCCCTAAACATGGCATCGTCTCAAGAAATATTTGCGTACACACGAAACCACTCAAATGGACTCAAAACGTTGTAGTATACATGCCAGACCAGTATGTGGTGCTGTAATTCTGCCACAGAGATACACTAAAAATGGAGAAGAAGACTTGGAGCATGCACATAAACCTTGTGTGCTGTATACAAACGTTTGTATATATACGGATTGGCTGTACACACGAAAATGCAAAGGTGTCATTTTCAGATTTATCCACTCTGGGACCCAGTTTAAAAAAATTGAGGTTTCAGGCTCCCAAAACGCTGGATCCGTCTGGACGAAACACCGATATGATACAAAATTTTTACGTATACAGCTAAACGCATCTCCGTGTGGACGGCCTCGGTCAATCACCCTACAGTCCACAGTAAATGATTTTGGAGGCTGTCTGCCTTTCCAATAACACAGGATTTGTCATTGTATTCAGTCTGTGATGTTTTGTTGAAATGCAAAATCGTTTTGCCACCTCATGCCATGAGCACCACGTTTTAAGGCACCATGTCACGTATATGAGTAGTTAAACTTTGAAAAATAAATCTTGACAAAAGTAAAATGGTCAATTTAATTATTAAACCATAAATAAATAAATTCATCAATAATTATTACAAAGTATTAATTCATAAATATCATTACATCTTTGGGGAGTTACATTACTTAAACTATACATTTTTTTTTTTGCATGTTGATTGCACCACATAACTTTTTCAGATTTTTCAGATTTTTAATATAAGCAGTGCAGCAGTTTTGATCATTTGTTTCTAAAAAATTAAAAGATTATGCCTACTACTACTACTACTACTACTACTACTACTAATAATAATTTGAATAAATAAATAGATTGGACAAAAATATGTAATGTCATTGACAAAATTTACTTATGGATCAGGGGCATTATTGACTTAACGTAATTTTTTTTATATTTAATCGCATTGAAGTAATGTTCAATTGACAGCCCTAATATCAACACAAGCCGATTATAATCAAATACAGTATATCTAATAAAGAATGCAACAACACAATACTGCAACAAAAGTGGTTTCTATCTTCTTTAAGTCATTCTCTGAGGGACTAAGGAGAGCAACAGGCAATTTGCCAAATAAATTACTTGGAATCAATCCATGAAAACAACCCAACTGATTATTCTGTGACCGAATCTTACGTCGAAACTTTGTGTGTGGCTTTCTTTCAGACCTGCAGACAGAACGGCATGAGAGAGAGCGTTAAGATGTGCTGGCAATTAAAACCAAAATGAAACGAAAATAAAATAACCTCTGGTTTGAACTGTTCGAGAGACAGTAGCTTGTGGGTGTCCTGATGAAAGTGGGAACTTCAGTAAGAACAGAACAAGGCACAAAATTCTTAGCAAATGTTTAAACTGAACAAAACGAGGAGAGGTGTTGCAGCAGGAGGTGTTGGATGGTGAAGCGGTCTAAATTGAGCTCTCCTCGTGCTCTGCCATCCCACACCCCGTCCGTCTCGATGGCAGCACCTTCTCCTCACCGTCTCTTCAGCTGCACAGGTGTGAATCCAGCCTGATTGAATCCCACAACTCCTACCTCCCAACCCAGCAGTCCACAGTTTGCTGTTCAGCACAGGAAGCAAACAGGTCTAGTCAGTTAAATGTAGTACTCCTTCTTGTCATCCGAATTGTTGTGTCCACCCTCTGCGTTGATGATGGCAGTGTCGGCGTCCGCGGCGTCGTCTGCTCCTTTGGCTTCGTGAGTAAAGTAGGTACCTTAAAACAGGAACATTTGTCATTTCCAGAGATAAAAAACAACCCAAAATCAAGCCGAAGCCAGAATCGTGTCTTTTGATTTACCTTTGTGTCTTGCAAAATATCGTCCGAGAACAATCAGGAGACAAAGCATGGCGAACACAAACACAGCGACAATGCCGCCGATGACGGCGTGATCAATTTTCTGTGGCGCTCCATCTGCTCTTGAATCTGAGTCAAAGAAAAAAACAAACGCAAAGAAATGAAGGCATCTTGCACTGTTGTCGGTTGGGGATTCAGTGTGAGATTCCCTGCCAAATGTTTTTATTCTGCTTTAAATAAATTCAGCAATGCCATCTCCCATATATATTTACATCCTAATTCAAATCAACACAACTAAAACACCTCTCAGTGAATCTGGCAGAGGGTTTTCACATACTCTTGTTTGTGACATTTCCTGTAAATGTGTAAATAGCATACCACAGACTAGCACATACTCAAACACAGTTTGTTTGGTTTGATCCTGAAACATCAGCTGTCTGAGCCAACACTGACACTGGGGAGATAAAGTTGCCAGCCTAAGCTGGTTTGAATGAGATAAATCATGGGTAGCATACTTACACTTTAAAATGTGTGGAAAAGAGAGAATGCAAGTAACAGTTCTACCAATCACTATGGTAAAACACCCAATGTGCATTTATAAGGACTGGCTTTTTTGCTCCCCAAGGCTGCATTTATTTGATCAAAAATACAGTAAAAACGGTAATATTGTGAAATATTACTATAATTTAAAACAACCGTCTTCTATTTGAATATATTTTAAAATATAATTTATACCTGTGATGATAAAGCAGCGTTCATTAGTCCAGTCTTCAGTGTCACATGATCCTTCAGAAATCATTGTAAAATGATGATTTGGTGCCCCCCAAATCAGCAACCTGACCCCCCCCCAGGATTGATTCATCCATTCATTCATTCATTCATTCATTCATTCATTCATTCATCTTACTGACAAACGTTTGAATGGTAGCATACAGTATATAGAGATATACAATATATTGGTACCATATTGTTTAGCAGCCGATATTAGAGATAAAAATTATGGTTTTGGTCCATTGGCACATTTAAAACTGTTATTAGTGTTTCTAAATGTAATCTTTGGCAAATCTCAAAATGTATATCTATTTTTGATACTGTACATTATAATGTTGTGATTCCTAAATTCACTTGAGGCATTTATAGTGACTGATTTCAGCATTTAGCATTCTATTTTTAATTTATTTAGACAATTTACTGGTGCATTTCTCCATTTATGTAGCAAATTAACTTTATCTTAGCTTTTGGTGCAGTGGCTCATATGGTTGAAGACATGCAATTTTTTGTAAGAGAACAGACAGAAAATAAACCCTGCACACATTCTAATTGCACATTAAGTTTCCTGATGAAGTGCCTAGCAACCAAACCACAAGAAAGAATGTAGACCTGAGAGCAAGGACTGAAAGTGCCTCAACAGAGCCCAAACTATATTCCCCTCAATATTACTCATTCAGTTTTGTAATCAATAGCCTTTCATCAGGCATAAGAGCAATAGAAGCTGCCCTTTTCCATTTTCAGAATCAACACAAGCTAAAGCTTCTGTGACCAACCTACAGTTTTTCATCAAACCGCATCTGATCCACAACCAGCATTTCTTTGAATTTAATAAGAACATGTATGGTTCTATCTAATTAGCCTACCTAGAACATTAAATGACTGAATATATGTCAATGCCGAGAACGGCGTGAAAACAAGATCTTTTGATAAACCTGTTTCTGCCTGCAGCAAACCAACAGATCCAGCTCAGCAGGATGACACAGTCTACTAAGATGCTGCTTTGATATGAGCCACAGAGGTTTCTGCATTGATATAGCACAGGGAAGCCCTGCATTGCATCATGTTGCACCAGAGGCACCTCTCATGGATCTGGCAGCCTGTTCCCAGTGCTAATTAGCATGAGACTAGGAATGAACACAGCGGAGAAGAGCACTGTCACATTCCATTCTCTCCGCAGTGCCACCCCCTCCCGCTCTCCGCTGGCCCGGTTCCGCCCCTCCTGCCTCCTGCTTGACACCAGCAGATAAATTAGCTGTCCAGGGGCACGGATATCTTAACCTGCGAGAGGAAGTTTTGGGGTGAATGCAATTTTCGGTGACTATAACGCACAGGTGTTATGGAAAGCTCATGTTAGCATTTAAGACAAGACGCTACAGGCAAAAACATAATTTTTTCAGGCATTGGTCAATTTTGAGATTTGGGGCTATTCGGCTTTTCATAATACGTTCATTCAAACTAGTGGGAAGAAAACATGCAAATATATTTTCTGTATTGTTGCATTTTTAGATTTCAGTTATGTTACATATCTTTAAAAGCCATTTTCTCAAAATGATTTTTTTCAGAAATCTTCAGTAGCACTTATATACACCGAACTTTACAGTCTATATTCCCATCTATATTCGGAACATTTCAGATTCCAAGATGTAGATTAGTTTGTTTCTTCATCAGAACAGATTATCAGACTCTTATTCTGACGGCACCCATTCACTGCAGAGGATCCATTGGTGAGCAAGTGATGTAATGCCAAATTTCTCTAAATCCGTTCCTGAGAACAAACAAACTCATTTACATCTTGGATGGCCTGAGGGTGAGTACATTTTCAGCAAATTTTCATTTTTGGGTGAACTGTTCCTTTAAGATGTGACCTCCCGACCCAACCTGCCATTTCATAATGTGTATTCTGGACTTGTGAACCACGGGTCCAAACGGGACTGCGTTAAATGGCACATGGTAGGCTTTACAAACCATGCTCATGTTAAGCAGGCGGTGGGATACGAGTGGGATTTATTGGGAAATAAAGAGGACTTTTGCCTGATTTACAGCCGGGTGAGGTGGGGGGAAGACTTATGCACTGCTGCAGGGCTAGAGAGCTAATGTTTTATGAGTCTCATTCTGCATCTGTGCTGAAGTGACTAATTAAACTGCAGGCCACTGTCATTGCAGCAGCTGCGGACCAAAGTGGAACGGCCAAGCGGTCATGAGGGCAAAAACATGAGAATATGAGGCTTATGAATGACCGGCCGATATAGTGTGGGAATCTTATAGCCTTTCTGTCTATTTCTGGCATTTCCCGCTAAAAGGCACTTCAAAAAGTAATCAGGGAAATCTTCAGGAACAGAGCTCGCAAATTTGTTCGCCGGCTCACTTTTATTGGATTTTAAATCTAGATTCAAGTTTCCGCACAGGTCATTCCCTGGAGTTTCGTCTCAGGGCTACGAGAGAAAGCCACACTGATGAAATGAAAACGGAAATTTCTTTTTAAACAAATCACAGCCCACCCAAGGACACCTAGGCGAAACAATGTGGCTAAGAAACGCAAATCACACGGCATTTAACTGAGGCACTGAACGATAGATTTTCTGCCGGCGAGAAGATTTAAAAAGAAAAAGCATTAAGGAGAGGTTGAACATGAACTCATTCGGATTCGGGCAAGAAAGGACCACAGTCCCGGGGTACAAAGGGAGACCTTTCCAAACAAAGATTGGACCCTGTGCATGTGGAGCCTTTGAAGCATGTTTTCCTGATAGAGTCTCTAAATTGAGCTAGCAGGCCACAGGGGTGACAAAGACATTTGCTACTATCTGCGGCTCTCTGTGAACTAAATCACATTCACATAGTGAAGTCAGCGAATGCAAAGCGCTGCCAAAATGTTTTAAAAGCAGTCCGCTACATGTCACAAAGCATATGGCTGGTGACATTTTCCCCCTGAATTGTGTAGATGGAATGATAAATATGCCAAGAGTCCATAGCAGACATCTACAGTGTGTCGGTGAGAGGTCTTTTCATATCAAACTCACAGCCATTCAGCTTTTCTGAGTGACTTGCTGCATGCAAGTTGGTTTGTAATCACAAGGAAACATTAGTCAACTTCAAATGATAATTCATTTTCTTTGCACCGCAATCAAAGTGAAAAACTCTTGATCAGAGAGAAAGCCGCTTCCGTGCGTTGCCTTCCCTAAACCATTCAAATGGAGCGCATCCTTTACGTCGGAAAAAAAGAGGGGCTTTGAACCAGGGAGACTGTAGATGTGTCGTTTACTACACAATGAAAAGAAATGGCATCTTTGATAAAATCAGCCAGACTTATTTTGGCACCTCGCCGCCTGCAGAGCTATCTTTGGCAATTGGACTAAAGACGTGTTGATGTTATGTAGCGCTTTTACAAGTAATGGAGAACTTCGCACTTTCACTGAATCCCTCTATTTCTGACCTTTATTTTGGCATTACGCTGATGCATTATTACTGGCTGAAAAGCTCTTTAGTACTGTTGACATGGGTGATGCTAACAGAGCTCTTAGCTACAGTGTATTTGGCTCTTTGTAGCTCCATTTACTATACTTTTAAAACTCAATATTTTTTTTATTTTACATGGCAGTCCACTACCTCATACAAAAGCCCCATCAGAAATAAACATCATAAATGCCAACATCATAAATTATGTTTCTTTTAATTTATATATTATACTGATATTATTTACCATTATTGTTAATATTATATAATATTTTGTTAATTAACATATTGAAATGCATATTGTTTATCATCAAAAATATATACACAATAAAATATATTCACAAAGGTAATCCACATTAATTGCAGAACCCAACAATTACAAATATTTTTTTTCTTTTAAACACTTACTGAATGTTTAGTAAATAAATGCATACAAGTTACAGAATTTTTACAAGTTAGCCATCAACTTTTTTCTTTAAGACTGCTTGTTTTAAAAGTTATATTATCATTATTAATACTTACACATGCACACAAGTCTATGTTTATTATATTATATTAAATATGACTGTTTTCTTAAAAAAGTGAATAAGCTAAATAAATAAAAAATTACACAAGTCTTACAAGTTAGTCATCTACTGGTCATGATGACTAGATAAACATAAAAATGCAGATTGATCCAGTCAGAATCAAAGAAGACAGCAAAGTTTGTCGAAAAGTCCATTTAATCTGTTATAAATTCTACTATAACATAATAATTTCATGCCTTAACATTTTTTTTGTCAGAACAAATGGGAAGTCCATGAATAGTCCGTTTCATCTTCTATAAATACCAAACTACAAACATCAAAACATCTACTATAATAGTCATTTCATTATATTATGCTTTGAAAAATTTATTTTGTCAGGATACATGGCTTTATTTTATTCTAGATTTTGTCTTGTTTTATTCACATCTTTTGCTACCTGCTCAGTGAAAGCTGTGCAGCAAACAGAATCCCTTGTTGCTATGGTAAGCAAGTGTCTAGCAAGGAAATGTAAGTGTGAATATCTCCACAAAATACAATGTAGAAACAATCACACACACTTATTTAATTAAACTTGAAAAATACATGCACAAATTGTGAAATAAATCCAAAGTAATGAATTCAGTGTTACTGGCATCACAATATGCGAAAAATAACAGCTTCAAAAAGAGGAGTGGCATGGCTGCCTCTGCTCATACCTACCTCAACACCCTGCAACTTTTGATACCACTTGTAATATGCATAATTCATGATAGGGCTATTAAGAAGAGCATGTAGGAGGTGTATTCCACATCTGGCTCTGGCCTACATTATCACTAACATGCAAACAAGCCCCACAACATGAGCACAGCTAAAGCCTCAGATTACCCCACCTCAGATGAGTGTGCTATATTATAACCCACATTCACTGCCTGACTGCTGCCTGCTGAATGAGGGCAAGACGAGGCTGGGAAAGTTCAGAGACTCAATGTAAAATGTCGACAGATTTTACTTTTTAAACTCGCTGTTATAAGTGCTAGAAATAAGGCTGAAGCCACAGGGATCATCTCAGTGGATGAGAGTCTCTGCACTCTCATAGATAATGTTAGAGTTGCAGTGCTGTTAGATTGTTGATCATCTAATATAAAAAATTGTGAGTTACAGTAAGTGAACTACATTTTTCAGAAGTGTTACAAGCCTGCTAAAAGAAAACTATCCTACAACAGCCTGGTTTGGTTTTAGCTAGGTTAGGCTGAGTATAGCTATAATTTACCACCTGACCAATTCAAATGCATCCCCAGAAAGTCTGAATCATTCTAATAAATCAAGTCATCCCAATGAATCGATTCATCCTAATGAATCGATTCATGGTAAACTCACTCATTCAGAGTACTGAAAATTCTGATTCATTCTAATAAATATAGTCATCCCAGTAAATTGATTCATTCTAAACTCTCTCATACGCAGTGCTGGAAAGTCTGATTCATTCTAATGAATCAATTAATCCTAATGGATCGGTTCATTCCAAACTCTCTCATATTGTAACGGGACCGACGAGACGTGAGGCGTGAGGATCCATGTGCAAGCTTTTATTAAGAGACGTGGTTTTAACAGGCATGGGTCAGACAATGGCAAATGGGTATATCGAAGGCAAGGCAAGAGATAAATCCAGGTAGAAGGCAAAGGTCCAAGCAGGGGCAAACAGAGTCAGAAACAGCAAGCAAAGGGTTAATCCAAGAGACGTGGCGTGAATCAGAGACCAGGAAAACACAAGGCAAGACTAAGACTAGACTAAGAAAACTATGAAAACTTAAACAGGCTCGGTAAGGTAGCTATCCGCTAAACAGGGATACACGCAAAACAATACACAAGACTAAAACAGAAAACACGGAATGGCTCAGTAAGGCAGCTAACACTTGGGGAGTGAAAAATGCAGAACAATACTCGGCAGTGAGAGAGAGGAAGTCCATGGCTTAAGTAGCAT